TTAGTCTACTACTACTAGTACTAATAACGTTACATGTATCTGGGGCAAATGGACACATCAATTTCAATGTTGAAGAATACCCAGAAGGCTTTTCAGCCATGTTAGTATTTTAATGTCATTTCACAGCAGATAATAAGAAATGTATTTTTACTCAAAGTCAAAGTCAAACTCAAACTTTTTTACTCAAAGTCAAACTTGCATTGGATTTGGATACTAGTACTCGAAACCCTGCAGTGTCATGGGCCCTGGTTGTGTTTGAGAATATTTGGAGTGAAAAATGATTTGGCATAACCTAGAAAATGATGTCTTACTGCAGTGACTAATGTCAAATATTGTTTTATTGATACAATATTCATAATTATTATCATTATTACTGATCAGGGCTTCAAATACCACCTGTATTTAAAGTTGGAGCTCTGCAGGTATTTCTGATGTCTACCACTTACCTGTACCTAACCTGCACTGGTCCATAATATACATGTACATGTACCCAGCAGGGGTCATACATACAACTTGTACATGTAGGTGTATTTGGATTTTTATATGCTGCATTGAAAGTTATCACCAACATTTATTAAGTCGAAAATAAAGAAATACAGGCAATGGTTTAAGTTTCTGAGCAGCTTTCTGTATGATCATGATCATATGCATGGATTCCATACATACTTACTAAATACTGGTGTGGGTAAAATATGTCAGGTGCAGGTAATTTTCAAAGTAATACATGTACCTGCACCAGGAATGCAGAAAATGATTTCCTGTCCTGTTGATATAAAGCTATACAAAATTACCTTTTTTTTTTCAGATTTACTTCATTTTTTTGATGATCCAAAAAATGGAAAGATCACAAGTTTCATTCAGGATAGGAATCAAGCCAAAAATGGTGGCAGGTTGGCAATAATTGATTTGTCAGTCCTTGATAAGTCCTCGTCAGCCCATTTATATGCCACAGTAAGGTAAAGAACCTAAAGACAGCATACAATTGCAAAAAGGTAAAGAACCACAAATGAAGGAGTCACAGGAACAGGGTGACACCCATTTTATGAGGGGTTGGACTCAATTTTTTGGTCAACTTTCTTAAGGTCGTTGATGAAGTTAGTCAACCTTTGGGAAAAACACAAGAGCATTGGGCCACACCAATTTAATTTCTTGGTTAACGGATTCACCCGCTTCATTTTTTCTGATGTGCAAATAAAAATAAAAATTCAGATTCAATCAGAATCAACTGCAAAATGCTCATATTTTGCCCTGAACAGTTGAAAACAGTCCTTTTCATCCTAGTTGTTACAGTCATTCCATCTCTCAATGCAATGGTGTCTGGTATCATTAAAAGTTCAAAATTCATTGTTTAAATTTTGAACCAGCCTGGTGTGTTGGCTTCATGGCTCCTATCGTACCATTTTGGGCCATAATAGGATGCCTAGGCCTGTTTTTATTTTTTTCGCCCGCCCGCTCCAGTATTTTCTAGAAAAATCCGTTAACGAAGAAATTGAATTGGTGTGGCCTTTATACATTTTATGCTAATTATACCTTATTGCCTAAATCTGGTTCATGTGGGCATTTGTGCTGCTTGCCAAAAGCAAGGTTGGAAATACCATCAAGAAGGCCTCAAGCATTATAAATAGCAGCAGACTGAATTGAGTGGCTTGTTGCTAGATAGACTTGAGGGTATTCTGGCTAGAATGGAGGGGCTTGATGCTAGATATAGACTTGAGGAGCTTGTGCCCCCTTATAAATGTTTGAACGGGCCGTCATTCATTTGAAAAAAATTAAGTAACCTAATGAACAATCACTAAATTTATAGTTTTTAAATATCCATGTTCAAGAATTTTGTTTATTTTTGTAACAACTAGATCACATCTCTGGCTAAGGTAACAAGAAGTTACCTTAGCCAGAGACATCCTCACAAGTAGTGAGGACTAACTGACCCAATAGGAGAAGCAGGGGTTACGAGGCTGGTTGGGAAAATTCCCTACCCCTATTTAGACCATAATGGTTTGGTCCACATCTGCTTCACATGGGTTCTTTAACGTGCTTGAGGTGTGTCTCTCCTCAAACACGGGACCTCCATTTTAACGTCCCATCCGATAAGACGCCCCTAACCGTAGCTAGGTACTCATTTTCACCTGAGTGAAGTGAGGGGCTGTGTGTTAGCCCCAACCATCTTCAACGTTGCGATAGACCACGTCATGGGGAGAACTGTGGAGCAGTGCAACTGCGGTGTCAGCTTTGGTGATCTCACCGTCACAGACCTGGATTTTGCGGATGATGTAGCAATCCTGGCCGAGGTACTCGAAGTCCTCCAACTTGCCCTACAGGCCATGGACACGGAAACCCAACCACTTGGGTTGATGGTCAGTTGGGAAAAGACCAAGGTACAGTGCCTTAGTGACTTCGAGGCCCCCCGCCCGGGTCCTGTGATCAACGCCCGCCAGGTTGAATCTGTAGAGCGGTTCTTGTACCTCGGCGACACAACCACCTCGGACTGCAGGAGTGACGCCGATATCCATCTCCGCATCGGCCGTGCCTCCGCTGCGATGGCTAGCCTGGATAGCGTCTGGAGCAACCGGAAGCTCTCACTGCAGACCAAACTTAGGCTCTACAACAGCTTGGTTCTATCCATCCTCTTGTACAACTCTGAGACGTGGACGTTAACAGCCACCCATGAACTCCGTGTTAACGCCTTCGACACCAGATGCCTTAGACGACTGCTCGGCATCAGGTGGTTTGATCGAGTATCCAACGCCACCCTGCGTGACATCACCAAACAGCCTCCCCTGACTAGTAAGATACGGCTGGCCAGGCTCCGGCTCTTTGGCCATATTGCTTGAGCGGTGCCCATCCTGGAGCCTGCTGCTCTACTGAGAGAGCCGGCCCCCACTACATGGTCCCGTCCCAGAGGCCGCCCACGACGAACCTGGTGCGATCAACTGAAGGATGACCTTCTGACTGTCTCCCTTAACCTCGACACTGCGTGGGAGGCAGCCCAGGACAGAACCACCTGGAGATCCATATGCCGAGGCGCTACGCTCCCCTTGGAAGCGTGCGGCCTTGAGTGAGTGAGTGAGTGAAGTGAGGAAAGTCGTGTAAAGTACCTTTCCCAAGGGTACAACGTCACGGTGCATGTTCGGACTTGTTCGGGTACGACCCGGAATCGAACCCGGGTCTCCCCGTTTTTGTGTATCAGAGCTGTATTGTATGATCTTTGGGAAATACCGATTGACATGCATCAATAGGGCCTAGAAAAAAATGTTGTTTCCTGTTTCCCGACCCTAGAAAAAAATTGCGGACCCTAGCCTTTTTTTTGTGTGGACCCCTACAATCTTAAGGGACATGAATTTTTCTAGCTGATAAACTATATGAATATTGCCAGAGAACACCAAGGTCTAACAAAAAAATCCCTAGATACCGGTAATCCCTACCTACCGCCCCAGTTTTTTCAGGGCTCACAACAGGAAACACAACATTTTTTCCTGGGCCTAGATTACTTAGTATACTACTCATATAAAAGTATGACGTAACTTACTCCAGTATTACACAATGGTTTATGTTTCGTATTGTGATTGCACATTGCTGTAAACCTCATACCACATCCTACCACCCAGCGCTTGTCAGGTTACAACCCTTTCCATCAACTGAAACCCAATCTTTACCCACTCACTTTTAATCCTCACTTCATGCAAACTGAATCTCCCCCTAAATCAGTGCTGCGAAAAACAAACAATACTAGTGCTGTAAGTCTACAAATTTCCGCGGTATATTTAGATTCGCGGCATTCGCGTGGACTTTTGTACCGCGAATCTATTTCCCCGCGAATATGTTTTGCGTAAGTGCGCCCCCCCCCACATGCATTCACGACGATAAGCGAAACACAAACACACGCGATTCACAAATCACTGCAAATCAACTTTATTCTTAGCAAATGTTGAGTACCAAATTTTTTTCAAGTTATACTGATGTCAAAAAATTATAATATTATGAGACACCGAATCGCGATACTGCGGCACTGGCCGTGTCAACCGTGTACCGCCGAAAAAAATCTATGCGTGCAGAGCGCCGGCCATGCGCGCCCGGGCGCTTGAAAATTGCGGGAACATCGGGCATATCTACAAGTATTTTTATGAAAAATATAACGGCTGGTACCTGGGAAATGTTAGTTGGTTCTCTTTTGCGCCCTGCTTTGCGGGCGTTTTTTTCTTCTTCTTGTTTTGCTGGATAGAAACGCTCATCATCATCATCATCTGTCGACACCCTGGCTGGGGGACGGGGCAAGCTCCTGCACAACACGACGCCACAAAGTACGATCTTCCATTGCAGCTGGAAGGTCTTGTTGTTGTAATCCTGTGTCCCTTGTAAGAGTAGCTGGATATGTGAGTTTTCTGGAGTGAGTCTTGCCATGTGGTTTCCACAGGAGGAGTGATGAGATGACTTCTTCTTTTGCACGATGGCAGTGTCCTGCAAATTTTACACGTCTATGTTTTAATCTGAGTGATACTAGGGGAAGGCTTCCATATATATTCTTTCTCGTTGGATGTTGCTTCCAGTTGATGTTCTGTGCCTTCCTGAGAAGTTTTGTGTATGTTCCATCAAGACGTTTTTCTAGGCGAGTTGTTAAAGTCCAGGTTTCGGCGCCGTAGGCCTACAAAACCGAAGGCGACCTTTGCAATACTTCCGGGTTCAAAATCTCGCTGAAGACGGCATAAATTGGCTTAGTAATATATATATTCTTTCGATTATACATTTCTTCACTAGAGTATCGATGTGTAGTCGTGGAAAATAGCATTTTAGCGCTTATTTCCGAAGAAAGAAAATTGTTTACACGTGCGTCAGATCGATCGTCAGGTTTACCGCCGGCAGTCTCGCGCGGTGCACGAAACAAATTTTTGCGCCGCGTTTTAGGAGTTAAATGCCGGAACTTTTATTATTTTAAATATACACTTTACAAATTTTTCTTTGAAAAATAGCCAAGGAGAAATCGCGAATCCAAAAATACCGCGGATTGTCCATTTTCCCGAAACCGCGAACTTTAGGCCCCGCGAATCTAAAGAGACTTACAGTACTTTGTCCTGGATGTAATAACAAAACAAGCTTGCCTATGAAATATGAAGCCCTGTATTGTGTATAAGCGCCTCCTACCATTTTTAAACTGTACTACAAATTGCAGATTCATTCAGTTCAGCTTCATTCAAAGAACACAATGTATATATATATACAGTTACATGTACTCACTGAAACCTGCAAAATGTATGTTTTCCTCAACAGATGTCTGGATTTGATTGGTCTAGAGTGTAAAGTTTGAAATTAAACAATCATGGGACATACATTTTCTGTTGTTCAAACATACCATGAAGACATATTTTGAATGATTTGCAAACATTTTTACCTTCGCCAAGAAGGTTATGTTTTCAGAGGCGTTCGTGTGTCTGTCTGTGTGTGTGTGTGTGTGTGAGCACGATAACTCGAGAACGCCTGGATGGATTGTCTTGATATTTAGTAGGTGGGTAGGTCTTGATGAGACGTGGAACTGATTAGATTTTGGGCCACCTAGCGGTTTGTTATGGTACTGCAGCTGAACTTCCGGTTTTGATATCTTGTGATCTAGACATGCTAGGCTGACGAAATTTGGATGGTAGGTAGCTCTTGTGATAGGGAAGAAGTGACGTGAGTTTGGGCCCCCTAGCTGCTTGCTCTGGAACTGCAGGGGTGTTAGTTGAAAACTGTTTAAAGGCGGATAATTCAAGAACCGATTGATGGATCGTCCTGAGTTTTGGCATGTAGGTAGCTGAAGTGATGCATGACATAATAATATTACAATTATGCAAATATTAATGTAATTTGCATAATTAATGAGGAAATTCTATAAATCAGCTGCATTCCATGATAGGACTATTCAAGCTTGTGACATATGTAATTCAGAACGTCAGAAATACAGGAAGATATTGATTATGCAAATGAAGACTTAATTTGCATAATTAGTGAGAAAATGTTATAATTACATATTGGTAATGTCTGGAATTTCATACTTGGGATATTTGAAAGTTATGTGAAGGTGAACATAATTAGACATAACTTATTCAAATAAGGACCTCATTTGCATAATTTATGAGGACATGCTATAATGGCATGCATTGATAAGATAAGACTGTCTTCTGGTATAGAATATGATCAGCAGATATAATTGATGCAATATAGGATCCTATTTGCACAATCGGGGATTAATCTATTATTTCTTAGTCATAAAGGCTAACATCATTTGGCGAAGGTATGAGATCGTGGAACTCTAGTTGAATCTGTATCAATGTTGTTCCAGGTGATACCACTGTGCTGGCAGCAGTCTATGGTCCAGGGGAGGTGAAGATGAGTGAAGAGATAATTGACAAGGCCACACTGAGGGTCATCTTCAAACCCAAAGTTGGACTCCCAGGTGAGGGCCTGTCATACACACCTGGGGCAACACCAATAACTTCTTGGTCCTCAAATTTGGTAGCCTTAAACATTTAGCCTTAAAAGGGCTAGAAATTCTGGGTGCATGTGCACCTAAGTGCACCCAAAATTGGAGCTGTGCACCCCATTTTTTCTGTGGGTGCACCAGTGCAATATTTCCGTAGGTTTACATATATGTAACGATGTTAAATGTACTGTTGTATACAGCATATTCTTAAATTCTTCGAAGGGTCGAAAAAATTATTAGTACATTTAGTACATTTATTTAGAAATGAAGCATGATTATTTTTTGCTGACATTCTACTTACAATTTATATTGTGCACCAGTGCACCTACTCTGATGTCCCGATTAAACGTACCGGTACGTTTATTTTTTTCGGCCCGAACGTCCACCCGGTACATTCTTATTAGGGACGGTACGTTTATAAATTTTTGGAAAATCGGTTTTGGAAAAAAATTGTCCGTACGGCGTACGTACCGCACCATCAGCAAGTGGCCGGCGGCCGCAAAATTCGGCAACACGTCACAGATAAATGTCTGGTCCATGATAGCGGCATTTCCCATGAATATAATGTATATTATTTATTTTTCGCCTGCTGTCCATTTTTAAGTCCCAAAACGTCTGAAAAAGCAAAAATTTGCCCACAAAACCGAAGGGGAAGGCGAGTAGCTAATCGACGTATTTACCACATGGCGGCCGCAAGTCCTTTCTCAGAATCGGCAACGCGGCAGAATAATGCCCGCTACATTTTAGCGATATTTACTATGAAAATAACGTAAGTGGTTTATTTTCCCTCTGGTGTTAGTTTTTAGGTCCCGAAACCCCTAAAAAGTAGAAATTTGCCCACAAGACGGACGGCCGACGTGGGGAGGGCGCCTAGCGCCTGAGCTGCATGACCCGTAAAAAGTCAAAGGTCATAGGGCACCCATATTGCGCAATCACCGTAAAAGCGCCGATTTAGCTAATTTTAGGGCGTTTAAAATTGATACAATCACATTATCGATTTTTAGGAAAACAATGAGATGGAAACCAATCCAAATTTTATGCTGAATAATATTTTTTTTCTTCAAAAGTTTTTTTTCTTCAGAAGTTTTTCTTCTTCAGAATCCAGACTTTGACCAGACTAGTCTAATAATTTTTTGTACCATACCAAATAATTATTATGTTGAAATGGATTTTGTTGTACATATACTCATTAAACCCCTATATTTGTACTTAATTGGGCTTGATTTTCTATCTCTTAAGTTAGTAAGATTTTCAACTCAAGTTGCAGGAGAAGGCTACAAAGTGCATTTCAGAAGTGTAAAATGCAATAGCTTCTCCTACGGATTTTGTATTTCCCCAAAACAAGTACAGTATATATATATACTCATTAATTAAAGTAATATATACTCACTAATTAAAAGTAACAGTGAAAGATTTGCCCATATATTGGTATTGAAATAAAGAGCACATTTTAGTATCATGCACACACAGTTCACCTGTCAATTTGGTCATTTTCCGGGGGGTACGTTTATTCCGGAGGGTATGTTTATTAGACTTTGAAGATTTGTCCGGGGGGTATGTTTATTCCGGGGGGTATGTTTATTCGGGACATTAGAGTAGGTTATATTTACAAAGATTGAATTTCGAGCCCTGCTTAACTGAATCACGATTCTTAGCGGCCAGCCTGCCCTGCAGTTGGGGGTCCTTGTAGCAGTGGGGACCAGTTCAGCTTTTGTTCCAAAACTGTCAAAATCATGCCATTACCTTAACAATATGTCTTTGTGACTTAAGAATTGTTTGATTACAGTTATTTAATCTATTTCATGATAATGTCTGTTCACCTATCACCCATGATGTCCTCAGAGAGGTTCAGAAATTGCATTAGTTGTCACCTAACTTGATGGATGTGCTATTCAGGTCTGAACCTAAACCTGGACCTGATTATAGTAACAGCAGTATCATATTTTGGAGAGCGAAACAGGTAAAATATGAGGTTCATTCAGTTTTTTTACCACCAGCCAGATTACCTAATACATTGTAAGATGTCTTAATAGAAATGTCTCTAATATATATTACTTTGTTACATATCAAAAGAAAAGAATTGGATCTCGACTCGTGTTTTTACTTGGTTCTTTGGTGTTGCAGTCAGACCAGGTTCAGCTGAACTGGTAGTCATCAACCCCTGACAGGGAGAGCCTGTATAACACAGGCTGTCAAGTTCACTCGCTTCCTAATTTTTGATGGGAAAAAGAAGATTGTACCATTCAGGCTCTGAAAATGCTCAAGCTTTTGTTCAATTTTTTTCATTGATGAAAGTAAGGCCTAGGAAAAAAATGTTGTGTTTCCTGTTTCCCGACCGACCCTAGAAAAAATAGCCTTTTTTTGGGGTGAACAACTTCAAGGACGTATATTATTCAAGCTGATCGACCATTTCTAGTTCCATGTGTGATAAAATTTTGTACAATCCGTTCTCCAACATTGACATTGAAAATAGAAGTGTGCTCATGCAATGCAAGTTCTAATTTTGTTACGTGTAAACTGTATTGTATAACTATAAGTTGGATCAATAGAGATCACCAAAGTCTAATAAAAAAAAAGAAAGAAAAAAAAGATGAGCCCTACCTACTGACGCTAATTTTTTCAGGGCTTAAACACAAAACACACCTTTTTTTGTTAGGCCTAGTGATTTGATTAAAAGTGGAAAATTCATTATTGAATTGTAATCCAGGCTACAGACAGCAGGCCAACTTCCTGCTGCCCCCCCCCCCCAGGAGTGGTGATTAAAATAAACACTCATGACACATTAGTAAATAATGAAAGCACATCTGTTCCAAAACTGTCAAAATCATGCCATTACCTTAATAATATGTCTTTATGAATTAATCAAAAGAATTGTTTGATTACAGTTATTTAATCTATTTCATGATAATGTCTGATCACCTATCAGATGAAGTCCTCAGAGAGGTTCAGAAATTGCATTAGTTGTCACCTAACTTGATGGATGTGCGATTAAGAGTTCAATAAAAGGATGCGAGAGTTTGACAAGGGATACATGTAATGTGACTCATGTAGAAAGTTCTTATTTTAGGGAGAATTCAGTGTAGACCGGCTGGCAGGCCTGACAAAGCACACAGAAAGTTCAGGAGAAGAAAAAACTGCTGTGACAGTCATAGTTTCTAGTTTTTATTAGTCTACTGGCCTACATGTAGGCCTCACTGATTATGCAAATTAGGTCCTCATTTGCATAATTTGTACCATAATCAATGTCCTTCTTGTTCAATGAACCTATCACATTATTACGTCACAGTTCGTTTACCGCAATGAATGCTGGTCAATCAACGTTTATATTGTACAGGGGTGCGTAGCGCAGTGTGTGTTTGTGTAGTGTTAGCCTTAATATAAGGCTTTTAATACAGTACTTTTGTCTAATGTCACAACTAAATCACCCATTACGGCATGTAATGCTGTGTCAACAAAACTAGTCGCAGCAAAAGTTAAACATACCTGACATTGAAAACTTTGAAATGATCTTTTTTCTTTAACTGACCATTCTAGAATGTTCTTTAGAACAGCTAAACAAACTGTGACATAATACTGTGATAGGTCCATTACATTTGTAACATATGTCATGTCACATGTTCAGTAATCCAATCATGGAACACAACAGATTTATGGAATTTCATCATTGATCGTGCAAATTAGTCCTGATTTGCATATTCAATTCTGCAATGTTTTTACCACGCAGATTGTAGATCAAAAATCTTGTGTCTCTCAATGCCATGCATTGGTTGAACACAGAAACAGCTAGAGAGTCAGGTTTTTGCAAGACTCAGTTGGGAAACTGGAAGCTTAACATTTTTCTCTAGGCCATATGAGTTGCTATGATTCCATGTCTATGTCTATGTATCTCCCTATGCCTATCCTCATGCATTTGTATTTCACCGTGAATGACAAATAATGGATGACACCTGTAGGATTTGATCAAGGTTTTATAAGATAGAACAGACTCACGTCTGGACTCAGAGAGGTGCTGATGCTGAGTGAGTTTTATTCAAACCATATTATATGTAATGTTAGTATGTGAGTGTATGTAGTGGGTATGTATGAGTATATGTGAGTGGCCGGGGATGGTACAGTATGCATGTACATTGTACAAAAAGGGGGGATCAAGAACACTACAACACCTTTAGGCCACACCAATTTAATTTGTTGTTTCTCGGATTTTTTCAGAAAAAGATGAAGCGACAGGGCGAAATAAGAATAACAAAAAAGGCCAAGGCACCCCATGATAGCCGGAAATGTTGAAGTGAAGTTTATAATTAAAACAATAGATTTTGAACTTTTATTGAAACAAAATTGCATTGTTACATTGAAAAACTTTAAGAAGTAGGAAGGAAAGGACTTTCTTCAACCGTTGGGGCCAAAATATGTCTTTCATTGAGCATTTTGCAGATGATTTAGAAGAAAAGAAAAATATTTTTTTTGCAGATCAGAAAAAAATGGACAGGGCGGTCCGAGAAGCAAAAAATTAAATTGGCGTGGCCTTATGTAATATCTGTCCTTGCCCAGGCTGTGCAGAGAAGTTCCAGGAGAGAGTCCTGAGGAACACGTGTGAGTCAGTGGTCCTGGCCACACTTCACCCCCGCTCAGCCATCAACATCATCTTACAAATCATCCAGGACTCAGGATCTGTATCCTTAAAGTTGTAGGATATGATGAACTTTATTGCACGACAATTGCACAAGGTACAATGTATGGCAAACTACATAAGAGAGTAATAACAATAAAATGAGTGTGTGGAATAAGACCTAATGTCGAATAAAACCTAACATATCTATATCATAATTATTCAAATAATAAGGGATAGCACAAGTCTTTGATAAAGTGTTACAATCGAGTGGGCTAATCACAAGTTTCGGTATTTTTTCTAATAGCAAAGCAGTCCTTTATGTATCTAGTACCTATTTTTGCGTTATGACAGTCGTTATGAGGACCATTACATGTAAAGATATATTCAGATCTGTCTCCAACATTGAGACTCTTGAAATCTATTGTTCTTGATTTGAGAAATGTAAATAGCTTGTTACGTATAACATCATATTTGGTACATTCCATAATAAAACAAGTACAATCTGAGATTTTATACCTCCGGGCTTTTTATTGTACATATCTATAATTGTATATTGATTCTTATATGTTGTTTGTTATGAATAGTTGATGTTGTTAAATTTTTTATGTGTTAGATTTAGCGTTCCAGGTTGTGTTAACACAGGTCAACATTTTCATCTGCAGCTTATAACATGTACCCACGAACTTATGAAATTCTATTTAATCTGCCGCAAGGAACTCGTAATGAAACTCAGAATGACAACTGGAACTGTCAAATCAGACGTTAAACCCACAAATATTTTGATCGAAAACATAGTTACTGGGTTCCGAAATGGCACATACAGAAGCTTGCTGCTTATACGTCAAATATACAAGGGTTTACAAGAAGTTGTAGTAATATACTAGTAGGCACGTATGCAAAAGTTTGCATAATACTCATTTGCATACTTGTAACTCGCTACCTTTACCAGACACCGTGCCCCCGTATCGACACTTCCGGGTTCGATCCAAGTCAAAAAACACCATAAATCCGCAAAGAAATATATATTTTCACCAAAGTTTCTTTGAATTGTGCATATTTTCACTGAATCTGTTCAGTCTGTTCCAGAGTGAGAAAGTCATTAATCACTTGTACATCTAGCCCTCACTGTTTTTGTTAGTACATGATCTCATTGATAGCTGATAGCTGCTGCTTTTCCCTTGCACAATAAATGGGGATTGCAAAAGGAGATTGCATCAGTACTGTACTTATGAAGGCAAATGGATCGGAGTCCTTTTTTCATGAGAGATTGTTGTAAACATCATGGTTTCATGCAAGTCTATACAATTTTGTTACCTTAGAGTATGGAGAATTGCTCTGGGTGTGTTTGCAGATGTGGGGGTACATTTATCTATTTTATTATGGCTTCACCACACCACGAAGTGGTGTGGTGAAACCATATTGCTTTTTCTGATGTTTCTTCTCCTTCTCCTCCTTCTCCTCCTTCTTCTTCTCCTGCCATTTTTTAAATGGATTCAGCTTCTTCATTTTGGGGCCTTAGGTCCTGACATTTGGTATGGATGTACAGTTGGCAAATACCCCCAGGCGTTTTTTAAATTTTTGTGATACAGGCTTTTAGAATGGTTTTATTTGAGCTTTTTGGCTGTGTTATAGCAAATGTATTACTGTGCTGTGTACCACGTTTGGGCATGAGTCATCACAATGGAATGCAGGGCATCAACCAATAGGCATGCAGCTTTCCTCTATTCTTCTTGCTGATTGGCTGTTGGGATTTAACTTGATTAACACTTGCACACAGCATTTCCACCTGCACAGAGCATTTCTTGCTGATTGGCTGTTGGGATTTAACCTGATTAACACCTGCACAGAGCATTTTCATACTGACAGTATGTCTGTATTCAAGTGTTTTGGTAGGTATTTCAAGCTTTCCTGCTCCAGCATTGGAATGCGGGGCATGAACGTTTTTTAATTTTGAAAATCAACAGTTTGCATTATGCAATTAAAAATCCTAACCAATAATGTAGGGAATAGCTATCCAACTGTTGTTTTAGTTGTATGTTACTTCATATTATAGTTATATCAATGTAAATCATTGTTTTCCCTTGTGTTTCTCATTCTTTCCCTACCATGTCGTAAAATGTGGTGAAGCCATCGCTGTATTTGCTCCTAAGCAAATATTGGCCTTTCTAGTTTATTTCTGTGTTCTTTAACCATGGTAGCACTCCTTTCTAGAGTGGCCCTGGGTACATATTATACAATACAATATATATCGACAAAGACGGAATAAAACATCAATAATCACAATCCTAATCTATAATTGTAGTCAAGGTCATGCCAGATCGTAAGGGGAGAAAGTCAGAGGTCACAGAACTGTGCACACAGTGTTTTGAAGGACTGTATAGATGATGCAGTTCTATCAACAGGTTGGAGTTTATTCCAACCCACTGCACCTGTATAGCCACCAACGTTCTTTTGCCGCGTTGTAATCTGGCTTTTGGAGTCGCAAGGAGTGATCCAAACTGTGTTGGGTGGTAAGGTATGGGTTTCTAAGGTTCTGTTGAAGATGTTTAGGTACTCAAGTAACTGGTTGTGGATTGACTTGTGTACAATTTGTATAGAAGATGCATTTGGCGACATGAAGAGAGATCTTTCCAGCCAAGAATGGATAGATGTTCAAAGCTGACATCCGATCTATACTGTAACAGCAGACCTATAATATAGTATCATTCTTTAAACTGCTCCGTTTTGGAACTTTTGTAGCTTGTCTGATAAGCCTTTCCCACAAATTACCCACATACATATATGTACATACATACATGTACATGAGTATGTGTGTTGTGATTCATTACCTCCATGAAATGGAAGGTATTGTTTTTGGCGCGTCTGTGTGTGTGTGTGTGTGTGTGTGTGTGGTGTGTGTGTGTGTGTGTGTGTGTTTGTGTATGTGTGTTTGTGTTTCCGCTTTTTTGTACCTTCATAAGTTCATAACGCCTTCATGGATTGTGGTGATATTTGGTATGCTGGTAGGTGTTAGGGGGGCGAAGGTCAAGGTCAAATATGGGCCTTCTGGTGGATGGCCTTGGTAGTGCAGTAGCACTTCCGGTTAAATGAGGAATCTCCTTTGCAGCCAACAGATGTGTCATTGTGTGGCTATCGAGTCAGTGCGCTTGGGACCCGGTTTGATTAATGGGGTTCCCTCAGGGGAATAGGTGACCTATTTCAGGGTTAGGGTTTGTATTAGCTGCAGGCCTGATTAGCTGTGTGTTTGAAACACTTAGTGTACTGTATACAAAAACTTGTATATTTCATGGAGGCGTGTCTGCCTGTGTGTGTGTGTGTCTGTATGTGTGTGTGTCTGTGTGTTTGTGTTTCCGCACATTTGTAGTCAGCATAACTCCATAACGCCTTTATGGATTGCGATGATATTTGGTACGCTGGTAAGTCTTAGGAAGACAAAGGTCAAGGTCAAATATGGGCCTCCTGGTGGATGACCTTGGTACTGCAGCAGAACTTCCGGTTTTTGTATCTTTTGTCCTAAACATGCTATGGTCTTGACTTTTTGGTGACAGATAGCTTTTCCTGTCAGGAATAAGTGGCGTGAGTTTGGTCCCCCTAGCAGCTTGTTTTGGAACTGCAGGAGATTTTCGGGCGAAATCTTTAAAAGCCAATAAGTCCAGATAGGAACAAGGTATTATCATCATTTTTGGTAGGTAGGTAGCTGAGAGAGAGATGTACATAATTAACTACAAATTACTAAGTATGCAAATGATGACTTAATTTGCATAATTAATGAGGAAATTCTATAATTACAGTGTTTTACATTATAGTACTTTCATACATGTAATGTATGTAATCTATGGCAGATGGAACATCAACAGATACCAATTATGCAAATGATGACCTAATTTGCATAATTAATGCGAAAATTCTATGACTCCTTAGTGGTAAATGATGGGAATTTCATACTTGGTACATGTGTAAGTTAATCAAAAGTTAACATCACGATGCATTTATTATGTTAATGTGGAGGTAATTTACATAATTAAAGAAGAAATTTACATTTACATGTCAAGCCCATATTTCATGGAGGTATGAGATCTTGGAACTCTTGTTGTGAATGCAGTGGAGTGGCACTGGGGAGGGTGGTTACTGCAGATTGGCAGTGATGGCAGCAGGCAAGCTGGAAGAAAGTTCTCCACCACACAAGTCACCTTCTTAGGGCTTGTTCACAACAAGGTTTCTGATCTGCATGTACTGAAGGCTGTTGAAAATACAAATGTATGTTACATCATCTCTTTGGTTGTGTCAAGAAATTCAGAAAGACTTGCCATAAATTTTAAACCTCCAATTTCTTGTTGGTTCTATCTTGGGGTGAAAAGGAGATGAATTGTTGATGTGTGGTTATGTGATTGTGTCTGTGTGTTTGACGCTTGTGTCTGTGATGAACATGTACCTCCAGTACAATGTACATGGCTGCTAAGACAAATTATACATACATAAACATATTTCAGCTTAGTATGTCTGTCAATTATCATTTTCTGTCAGTGAATATGTGAATGTGCACAAAGTAAAATGCTGTAACAGTTTCATGTGGACTCAAAGTTTGTTTTTCAAGTTAGGCCATGTTGATTTGATTATATGGATGACATGAATTTTTACGCGCGCATGAATTTTTGGCCGTTTACAAAAAAAAAAAGTTTTCAACCATACTGTAAATCGTACAAAACAGTTGCAAAATGAGCAAAAATATACCATAAGTTACAAAAAAAATTAATAAAAACTATACCAATGTCATAGAATGCCAAAATCAAACGAAAAAAGACGAAATTGTAAAGAAATGAACTTGAAGACTACATTATTTGCCAAACCATATTCTGTGCCATTTGCTCAACCCTCATGACCACGTAGATTTCATAATGAAAAGAACTTTTTTTTTTTTTGCAAAACTTTTTTTTATTCGCATGCGCACATCAGTTTTGGGGCTCCCGGAGGATGTCATCCATATAATCAAATCAACATGGCCTTACTAGTAGATGAAAAATGCTTTACTTAGACTTCAAAGTCAAGATCATTATTTAGATTGGAGTAAAGTTGATTTCCAATTTCAAGGAAGCTGGAAGTCGTACACTTTTCCATCTTGTTTATCTATTAGTAAGATTACCTGCGATCTAGTTGATACAATGCCATTGCCCTGTCATTGCAGATCTTCAGCAGAATTCTAATGTAGTTACAGAAAGATAGGACATCTTTATCCTTGCCTACAGGTACATGATGTAGGAGGTCAGATTATGTTGACCCAGACGCAATAAATTTTCTCTTATTGTAACGTCTTTGGGGATTCCGGCGATGCAGGGATAGTAGATCAACAGTAAATCTCTGGTCTGCAGAACCCATCATTTACAAGCGAGTCTTGCATGGCTTCCATGCCTGGACTAGCCTGTGGTGATGAGGCATGGCAAACTCATTACAAGGGAAGTTTTCCGGGCGTGGGCGCTGCCGACCGGAGATCCGGCTTCATGGATGTCGTCTATCCTGAGGGAACCCTGAGAGCAGCTCACATGACAGGAAATCAATTCTGTTCTGCTTGTTCCATTACGTGGGGTCACAGGCGCCATTACACTCCAGCTAAAATGTACTGACTCCAGCCGAGATGGCTGAGAAGATAAAGTAGAAAATGGGATGGCTGTTCTGCCTGGTTAATTCTACCACTGATTTTTCTCTCAATAATTATGATACCTACATGTACTTTCAGGTACAGAAGTATTGTTTTGGGTGGCGAAGTTCTGGGCTTGTTTGTATGTCCTATAAGTATAACATGTAAATGCTTTACTGTTGCATAGTGGGTGGGAGGTGATTTTGACAGAGGTCTGTCAAATCTGAAAGAGACCCAGTACACTGGTATGTGCCAGGTGGGAGTAGGTAGAATTCAGGAAGTGGTGTAACAGGGCTCAAAATACCAACTGCAGGTTATATAGTCCAGATACAGATTGGAGCTGTGGGTACATGTATATCAGATGTCTACCTACACCTACTTTCAGTTCATGTAATGTTCATGTACATGTTTGGTGTCTCTGGTTGATGTATATTGTACTTGACTGCTGTTCAGCTGCTGTCGTGTTGCGTGAACGCGGCATGCGTGGCGCTGATGGACGCCGCCGTGCCCATGAAGTGCCTGGTCAGCGCCGTCACGTGTGCTCTGACAGAGGAAGGACAGATCGTTCTGGATCCTGACTCAAAACAAGAGAAGGTTGGAAACTGGAATACAATTTCATTGTTTTGTTTTTTTTTCTTTTTATTCTGGGAGTATGCTGGAAGTATTATTTTGGTGGCTTAGCTGTGGGTTTGTTTGTCTGAACAGCAGAGATTTACACTAGTATGTGGGTGGACAATTTTCTACATTGTATAAGTTACATGTACAGATGATTGGCCCAAGTTGCTTGGGTACAAGTACAGGTATGTAGGCAGGTGCCTTGTAGCTAAAATGTCTACACAGCTCTACGTATGTATTTATTTATTTCAAATGCAAACAACACATTACACAGACTTACAGGCAGCAAAAGCTGATGAAAGTCTACATAAAGGATAACAAGTACGTCCCCATTGATGTTGTCCATCCATATCTTCACTTTCAGGAGTCCTCCGCTGTCCTAACATTTGCTTTTGACAGCAGAGAAAACAATGTGATCACCTGCAGCACAAAAGGATGCTACACACCTGAACAGGTCAGATAATTATTATAAGTCAAGAATCAAAAAATGAAGAATGCACAAAAAGTTGACATGCATGTTAAAGATGAGTTAACAGACCTTATAAAAAGAAATTCAGTTTCATTTATTCTGTTTTATCTGTGGGAAGTACCAAATTTGAATGTCAAATTATATTCCATTGGGGAATTACTTTATCTTTTTTATTTATATTTACATCAAACAATATAAGTAGACAAGACAAAGCAGACTCAAGTTGTGTAACTTATATCCACGCTGCCACTTGTATAGTATTGAAAAACAATAGTACAAGACAAAGAAACATTTAAATAGTTACAAAAATAGTTGAGTTATTCAAGGTGAAGTCCAGATTCCTCATGCAAAAGATATGAGGGACACAAAGTCAATAAAAACATTTTGTTGCTATTTGGGTAGTTACATTTACCGAAGGAAAACATATTGCTCTGTTTCTACTTCCATTCCAAACACTGACTTCTGACCTTGTCAATGACCTGAAACCAGACATCTGTGGCCATGGTAACTAGTGTTGGGTTACATCATGTTGCAATTTTATAGTAAGAGGGATTTAGACTCCTGTCACCATATAATTATGTGAATGTGTTTGAGTAAGAATTAACAGAGCAAATCATATGCGAAGGTAAAACATTATGCATTTGTTTTGCAAATGTTACCTTTCAGGGCTCGAGATACTGAGTGCATACCCAAATTTGGAGCACCAGTGCACCCAAATATTTTCTTAGGTTTAATTTAAACCTAAGAAAATATACCATTTAATGTATGTAATAAGATGTTAAATGTATGATAGTTACAGCATATTCTTAACGTCTAAGTGTCAGAAAAAATAATACAATCATTGTTATAATAGTACTTTTCTTAAAATAAAACATGATTATAGTTTTTGCTGACATTCTACTTATTTTATCATATATGGTGCACCTAAAATATTTGTTGTGCACCCAATTTGTGCACCAGTGTGCCTATTCCCAAAAATGAATTTTGAGCCCTGCCTTTCTAGTTACATATTGTATTTAACATGATTTCGCAGTAAATATTGACACGGAAAATAAACAGAAGAACCATACAAAATTAAAAGTTATTTAGCATTGACAGATAAGGTATCTGTGTAATTTGTGAGAATCCCTGAAAGCTTGTGATTATCCAGGTTTGTTTTTCTCAGCATTTGATTTTTGAAATGGTCTTATTAATGTAAGATTACTAAAAGTTGAAATATGACTATTTTTCTGTTCTCCAGTATCAAGAAAGTCTGTCAGCATGCCGAGAAGCCAGTAAAAACATTTCCAGTTTCTTCAGGCAGGCGGTGGAGAAAAGAATGTCAAAGGAACTCAAAGTCAAGACGTAGCATTTTCAGATGTACAATGTTTGTCTTTCAAAGGTTGTCTGAAGTCGATATCGCCCCCCGTCCCGGTTGAGCGATGGTTGAAGTGCCCTGATGTATATGGCCTCTTTTATGCCTCTCTTGAAGTAATCCTGTTCGGTATCCAAGATTCTGACCCCCTCTAGATCCACTGTGTGTCCCGGTGATTCTATGTGGATGTGCTGTGACACCTCAGATGCAAAAGAACTGGGTCGTCTATGTTCTAGAAACCTGGTTTTTAGTGAGCGCTCAGTTTCCCCGATATAGGTTTCCCAACAGGGGCCTCTGTTGGTGTTTCCCTGGCAACTTATGTGGTAGATAACCCCACACTTGTCTTCCTTGGGAGTTTTGTCCTTAGGTGCCACAAGGAGCTGTCTTAACGTACGATGAGGTCTAAAACAGGTACTCACTCCATGTGCAGCAAAGTTTCTACGTAGTTGCATCTGAGGTGTCACAGCACATCCACATAGAATCACCGGGACACACAGTGGATCTATAGGGGGTCACAATCTTGGATACCGAACAGGATTACTTCAAGAGAGGCATAAAAGAGGCTATATACATCAGGGCACTTCAACCATCGCTCAACCGGGACGGGGGGGGGGGTGATATCAACTTCAGACAACCTTTGACCCTTTGCTGACGTCACACGTGGGAAAAATCACGTGTCCACAGCATTTGGGTCAGATAGCTGAGGAAGACTGAGTGATTCAGTCAAAAATCTCTGGTGAGTCAAATTTTGAGTTGGAGAACAGTTTAAGTTTTTCATACTGTCACTCTACATTGAGAATTGTAGGAGTTGTGGAAATGTATAACTTCGAAAGCACACACAGACCAAAAACAATACCTTCCCACTGGGTTACATGTATATTAGTAGCCTCTTCCCTTGATCCCATAACCTGGAATATTAGCAGCTAAAGTTGGTGAATCTACTCATTTTATTTCCTGTCACAGTCTGTAGGTACAGTTCTGCCACCTCTAAGCCAGTGCATGTACACATGATAGCCATATTCAAGTGTAGTTGCATTATGATACATGTACAATGTAGTTACATCTGGTACAGAAGCTTTGGGTTGGTGATGGTTTGTGTGTTTGGTTGGTAGGAGGCAATTGGAAGGATGACCTAACAGTGGAGTCAATTGTAAGTAATACAAGTGTATGATTAACTGTTTCTATCATGTACTGGGTGCATGTGCACCTTATTGCACCCAAAATTGGAGCTGTGCACCCAATTGTTTCTGTGGGTGCACCAGTGCACCCAAAAATATTTTCGTAGGCTTACGTATATCAATATGTTAAATGTATAGTAGTATTCAGCATATTCTTAGCATCTAAGTGTAAGAAAAATATTATTCTAGACTTGTACTGTTACCTTTTTACCTTCGCTGAGAAGGTTGTTTTTTCAGGGGTGTTCATGTGTGTGTGTGTGTGTGTGTGTGTGTATGAGCACGATAACTCAAGAACGCCTGGATGGACTGATTTGATATTTGGTAGGTGGGTACATGTTGTAGGTCTTGATGAGACCTGGAACTGATTAGACTTTGGGCCCCATATGTAATTAAGAAAGAGAGTAACACAGGCAGATATTGATTGTGCAAATGACGACTTAATTTGCATAATTAATTAGAAAATGTAATAATTCCATAGTGTTACTAGTAACTGCCTGGAATTTCATACTTGGGGTATTTGAAAGTTAAGTGCATGTGAACATGATTAAACATAACTTATTCAAATAAGGGCATCATTTGCATAATTGCATAATGGCATTCTTTGTTAAGACAAGACTGTATTTTGGTGTAGAATATGATCAACAGATAAAATTCATGCAATTAAGGATCCTATTTGCATAATCAGGGGGATTAATGTATACTTTCTTAGGCATAAGAAAGTCATTTTGCGAAGGTATGAGATCGTGGAACTGAGACATTACATGTGTATCTTTTGCTGATATTCTCCTTATTTTATTTTATATGGTGCACCCACAAACAATTTTGTGCACCCAATTTTGTAGGTTGGGTGCACCAGTTCCCAAAAGTGACTTTCCAGCCCTGAAACCCGTGTGTACATGATCAGACTATACAAGAATACTCAGACTACGAGCCATTGCCAATGATGACGATGATGATGTAATTCATCCACGGGTATACATGTAGCACAATCTCATATCATACAGTACAGTACTAATACATTACGTAAGTTTCAAGAGTTTTTCTTGTTGATATGGTGTATGAGCAACATGGTGGGAGAGAAAAAGTAATGATGAACAGCATCAGTAGAGAAAGTCATGAGGACAGAAAGAAGGATGGAGGAGAATTGTGTTGAGTGAAGCGGAGGGATGGATGGATGTGTTGTAGTGCCATGGTGTGGTTTGTTGTTGGGAAATTTTTACGAAGGGGAGGGCTGTAGTCACAAGTTTGAAAATTTTCTGCACTCTTATGAATGGCATCCTTTTGTCGTCAATTATTACTCACAGAATCTAAAGAACCTTCCACACTTCTGGCACATGCCTCTGTGTGACTAGATCAAACCTATCAGTCAGGTGTTACATACATTTTGTACCTTGTACTCACCGAACAGAACTGGTTTGTTGAGGTTAAATGGTTATACAATACAACCCCCCTCTTGCCACTGCACTGCATTCAAATACGAACGAACGAACGAACGAACGAACAGACAAGCATGTCCAAAACAATATCTCTGTACCCAGGGAAAAAACAGCGAGAGAGACATCAAAAACGTGCGCTTGAATGTGATATACAATGTAGTAGAAGGAACAATACTCCTAACTCCTAACCTTGTCATTCCAGGTGTCGCTACATACGCAAAGCCATCGCTTACCCCTTGCCGCCTTTCTATTTTGCTACCATTTGTAAAGCACCCTATGGGAACAAATCGTTCATGACATCCACTTTACCCTGAACTCCAGCAGCTACATTAACCTTAGCATGTAGCGATGTGCTCTGGGGTAAACTTGTATTTCATAGGTTGGTTGACCCAAGGGTAAAGGCGTATCCATTAAAAGTTCCCCTGCTGTATTCCTGCCGCACCCCGGCTGCACACGCCTCATTATTTCACGACTACTTAGCGGAGAGAAGAGTCATTGCCGCAACACGAAAGGAAGCAAATTTAAAGCACTCGATGTAGAAAATGCGTCACTAAAAGAGAAAGTCATTGCCAAATTAGACGTCACGTTTTTACGTGAAACAAATGGCAAGAACGGCGTTATCCTGCATTCCATCCAACTAACCCCCATAAATCCTTCCCTAGATGCGAACTTGTATAAAGGCTGGTGGAGTTTTGCCTTCTCGAGATGAAAGGTACCTAATCCAGCCAGACGACTGAGCAATCGGGCTTTTAAGTCAATATACGTCTCTACACAGACGAACATACTTCAATTGGTTGTTTCGATAGCAGGGCCCTTTATATTGGGCGACCTCTCTCTGAATGCTCCCAGTCAGAACAGACGAGTAGAACGTGAAAGTACTGATCAACAAGGTGGTTTGTGGGGTCAGAAGTCTGTGGCTTTATTTCTGGTAATGTAGCTCCTCCAATTCAACACGCGTTTTAAAAGCCACTGAGTGATTATAAAGGTCTCAGTATATATCCCCTTCGGGTTCGATTTTATCGCCCGTAAGAGTGCACTGGTGCGCCTGTGTGTTCTGCACTTCTACCTTAATAAAGTCTTTAAACCAGAGCGACGGAGATGCAGTTTGAGGCGGTTCGGTAATGCGTTCAGACGTCGTGAAACAGTTTGAGCGTTCCTTAATTCATTGAGCCGTCATGCCGCCATGAACATGATCGATTTGGACGGGCTGGAGGAATGTGGTTCCCCCCCCACTTCAAACCGGTCTATGTAATTCAGACTCGGGCATTCCCTCCAGAAAGTGGTCACAACAGAGATGACTCCCAGCACTGACGTCAGGAGGTCGGAAAATAAAAACGAACGCTCGATTTGGAGAGGGAGGCCGTGACCCTGAACTATGGCCTAATGGCCGATAATGTCATTTGGTTGAGGAAATAGACCCGGGAAACTGCGTGACACTAAAACTTTCAGATATCTATTATTTGATATGCCAAGGTATAATCAACTTTTCCATTGCCACGTACAGGATAAATGAATTGTGAGAAAGGCGTGGGCCTAGAGTTCAGTGATCTCCCTTCGTCGATTTTTATTTATCTTGCAGGGTCTCCCCAGAAATAAAAAGTGCTCCCTAATCGGTTGATGAAAAATCAGCAAATCTTCATGAAAATACTAAAAGAAAAGCCTTAGTTTGAACGATTTGGGAGAGGTGTTAGGATTTATGGGAGAAGAGGAGCACCCTTTCTTCATTGCTTGGGGAGAGTCCTGTCTTGTACATGTAGTTTGATTGAAAATGGTTTCGATGTCACCATATACTGTATTCTCTGCCCCTTGAGCAAAGTCACAACCCTAGAATGTCTAAGACACAAAATAGCAATAATCACTCCACCTCCATGTGTGTTTGTTGTGTCTCTGCCCCGTCTGTGGACACTAAACTGAGGACCAAAATATTTAGCCTAGTGTCCAGCCTTGTTAGCTTTAGTCCGGGGAGCGGATCTTGGGTAGCGGACTAAAGCTAACAAGGCTGGACACCTGGCTACAAAATATTCTGACGAGTATGTTTTCTTGGAACCAGGTTTCAGTCAAAATCATAATATCTGGTTTTGTACAGTCAACGGTATTGTAGAAGGGACCCTTCTTGTTTACAAGTGATTGTCAGTTTAGTCACGGAATTTGCATGGTAGATAGCTCTCATGCTCAGGAAGAAGTGACTTGAGCTTGGACCCCCTAGCAGCTTGTTCTGGAACTGCAGGGGCAAAATGTTTCAAAGGGGATAACTCAAGAACCGGTTGAGGGATCGTCGTGATTTTTGCTACGTAGGTAACAAGCTCATGCTGAACATGATTAGGTGAGAATTATGCAAATCAAGACCTAATCTGCATAATTAATAAGGAAATTCTATAAATCCGCTGCGTTCTAAGATAGGACTGATCAAACTTGTGACATACGTAATGAAAGAAACATCAGCAGATATCAATTATGTAACTGACGAACTAATTTGCATAATTAATGAGAAAATGTTGTAGTGTCATAGTGGTAACTGCCGGGAAGTTCATACTCATTTACAAGCCTTTGCACTACGGCATTTACAAGTTAAGTGAAGGTGAACATGTATGGGGTGTATGGGGTATGTATAAGTGTATGGGGTGTCTGGGAGGGACAGCACCACTGCAGGGGGGGGGCTGCCATGCCCTATAGGGTAATAACATCAGCCCGTAGGGTAGCTCGTCCTGTATTGGCTCCCACCAGATGCTCAACTCTCACCTGTGGCTCCTAGAAGCTGTAACATGCACAGCGGCCACACCCCGGGCAACCGCTTTGGCAGGCAGGCTAAACCAGGTGAGGGTAGCCGGGCGGACTACAAAACGCCCGGTGAATCAGGGGGGACCGATCAGACTCCAGTTGCTGTCGTCTTTTCTCGCCCCTCCCAGGTGGGACAT